CAGAACTTAAATTAACTCATTTATATTAATTTATACTTTGTCTCATGGCTTTTTACAGTTCTTTCATTCTGTATATCCAACTCCCTCCATGTCTCGTTGATGTCTGATGCAGGCCTAGATTCATCTCCTACTTCCTTTTCTCTGCCTGGAAGTCCCACCTATACCTCTTGCCTGGCTCTTGGCCTTTCAGCTCTTTATTAAATCAATCACAGTAATATATCTTTACACAGTGTATAAATATCCCACAACAATGTACCCAGTTCCCAAAACTTCATCCTTTTTATTTAATCTGTTATTTAACTATTCACACTACTATATTTCCACTAATTGCTACGAATTGGCCTTGCTAAGCAGCTGGCTCTTTATTTTCTCAGTCCTGGGGATCAAACCCAGGGCCACGGGCATGCTGCACCAGTGCTCTACCCCAGAGCCCTTCAACCACTTTTCTCTAGCTTTCCCCTTACCCATTTTGGGGGCCACATTGGATAACATGGAGTATCTTTCCTGTTACAGAAATCAAATGGTATAGAATGAGATTGTGGTTGTGTCTTCCTTGTCCATGCTTTGACCTAGGAAGCAGTTAGAGTTTTCAAAAGTCATGCGATTATTGATCTCTTGTTTACTTTCAGTATCCAGTACAAGGCTGAGAGTTTGCTTGCTTGTTTGTTTTTCTGTTTTGTTTTGTTTTGGTTTTGTTTTTTTCCGAGACAGGGTTTTCTGTGTAACAGCCCTGGGTGTCCTGGAACTCACTCTGTAGAACAGGCTGGCCTTGAACTCATAGAGCTCCACCTGCCTCTGTCCCCTGAGTGCTGGGATTAAAGGCATGGGCCACCACTGCCCGGCTAAGGTTGAGGTTTTAATATCCCTTATTTGGCCTTGACTTGATAGATATGAAAAGAGTACAGACCCCTGGATGCTGATGTTCAAGCAAAAACCTGTGTTTTGATAACATCTCAAGATTCACTGTAGACAGGGATTATTTTCTGACCAAAGTGACATTATAAACATTTAAAATTTTAAAACAATATAGATATCATAGTTAGACCATTCTGATTCCTTTAATTATGTTTTTATATTTTCATGATTTCCCTATTAGACACCCCTGCTCAGAAAAAACAACAATAACAACAACAAAAAACCAAGATGGACCAGTTCCTCAGGAAAAATTCTTTCTTTCTCTGCAAGTACCTCTCTAGCCTTTCTTCATGCTGAAGTGCAACAGCCTCCACACAGCTGAGAGTTCTGGTCAGTTACCTAAAAATCATCAAAAATGCTGCCTGCTCATCTGCTTTCCAAACGGACCTCTTCCCTTTCATCAATAAAGAATACCAGTATCCCAGGATCTCTCAATGGAATATAATATTGATACATCTGTTCATCAGCAGCTACCAAAAGTAGTACTTGTGAGAGGTTATTTGAAGAACGTGGGACTTATCCATTTTATCAAATTTTTAAACTGCTATCATGTGAGGTAGATGCCCAGTTCTATTCTAAGTTGTATCAACCACTGTATTTGAGACATTTCAAAGCAAACTTGGTACAGAAATGGAGCAAGTCCTGAATCTGCACAAAGGACTGAGGTTTCTTTTAGGAAACAATCCCAAGTGTAGTCGGGCGGTGGTGGCGCACGCCTTTAATCCCAGCACTCGGGAGGCAGAGCCAGGCGGATCTCTGTGAGTTCGAGGCCAGCCTGGTCTCCAAAGCGAGTTCCAGGAAAGGCACAAAGCTACACAGAGAAACCCTGTCTCGAAAAACAAACAAAAAAAAAAAAAACCAAGCGTAGTCAAAAGGCGTTGTGAGAGGGGAAGAGGCAAGAGTATGTCTAAATATAGCTTGTTGAACAGAAGCAAGGATATTGTGCAGAATATTCTTTGGGTTTGTTCCCTCCAAAGAAGGAAGAAAGAAAGTGTCACATAAAAATCAAGAGCTGATCATTAAAATCATGATCAACTAGGCTGGGCAGTGGTGGCACACGCCTTTAATCCCAACACTCGAGAGGCAGAGGTAGGCGGATCTTTGTGAGTTCGAGGCCAGCCTGGTCTACAGAGCAAGATCCAGGAAAGGTGCAAAGCTACACAGAGAAACCCTGTCTCGAAAAACCAAAAAAAAAAAAAAAAAAAAAAAAAAATCATGATCAACTAAAGAATCAAAGAATAAATAAAATATTTTAAAAAGAATAAAATCTTGACCAGTTGATCAGGGTGGTGTGCACCTGTACTCCTAGCTACTCAGGCTGAGGCAGAGGGTTTATTGGAGCCCAAGAATTTGAGACTGTATTGAGCTACATACTGAGAACACTCCCCCACCCCTAACACACACATACTTCAACATGAACAAACAAAACCCACCATCACTATAGAGACACGGGACTGTATGTATGTGGAGAGAAGCGTTTTCTCCATTTTAGCTGGGAACCCAGTGGGATGTTCTGAGTGACTGTGAGAATTCCACAGTCTGAACTGTGAGGGAAAGGGTGACCATGATGCTGATCTCTTTTGCTTTTACCCTGTGAGGATGCCAATGCCAGGAAGAAGAGGCAATTGACCTGAAAGTTAGGACAAGTTATTTAAGGCAGCTATCAGGGCCCGGTGAACGTGACAGGGTGGCTGGCTGGGCTGCCCAGTGAACACACTCCCTGGGTTCTCCCAGGTGTAATTATGGATGGGTTTCACAGAGAACCTAGTGTTCTACTTCAGCAAGTTTGGGCAACAGCTAGGAGTGTGTGGAGTGATATCTGATGTGACCAGAACGGAACAGCTCAGTTGATACTGTCTGCCTCCCTGCCTCCCAGTGGACTGCACTCGTTCATAGGATGCTAGGTGACATCTGTCTGCAGGCACCTGCATCTCTGGTCCACACACGGCTCTGCCTGCTGGAGCCTGTGCGGCCTGCATACTTGGTAAACTGGAGATATTGGTAAACCGGAAGTATCGGCAAACCAATGCTTATGAAAGTGGATCCCCATCAAAGACTGATGTGGAATTGGTTAGCTCTCAACCAAGACTGACAGAAATGGGGCATGTGAACACCCCAGCTTGCTCTCCTGGGTTGATCTTGAATCTGTTCTGGCACTCCCAGAATTTCCCAACACGAGTAGGCACTGGTTTCCCTTAGCACTAAGTAGCCTGATACCGCTGTTGTAGGGGCTTGTTTTCTTCTTCCACCTTGACTGTCTACTCTTCTACACATTTACTGGGGTTGGATCCCAAGCAGACAACTAATACCTCTATCTTTTCCCCAAGGCCTGCTTTTGGGGCAACCCCAAACTAAGATGGGTGGAGTATGCTTGACTGAACTAAGGCAGCGTAAGGCCACTCTTTTGAGTTCTGTTATTTTGCTCCCTCACATGAAATGTTTTTACTGAGTTTTTTTTTTTAATGTTAATTCCTTTAATTCCCCCCCCCCCCCCCCCGCAACCCCACAGTAAACCACAGGAGTCTTGTTGCTGTAGGTAGTGACCCAAAGACATGGCCAATTCCATCACTCAGTTCATTGTGAAACTTTTCTTCTAAAATGTACAGCTAGAAAAAAAATTAGCCTAATCCCCAAAATTGGCATATTTTTTTTTCTGTACCCAGGTAAAAAGAATGAGATACATGAGTGCTTTCTCTTTTTTTCCTCTGTCTGTCTCTTGCTCCTTCCTCCCCTCTCCTCTCTCCCCTCCTAACTCTCCCCGTCCTCCCCATCTCCCTAGAGATTTGTCTTCTGAAAAGCCCAGAGGCCAATTGGGAGTCTAAGAAGAGAGAAAAATGCGTTTATCGCTTGCCTGTGTGCGCTTCTCTTCCCTGCTCTCAACTTCACCTCATCATGTCTGTTTGCTCTGGCTTGGTTACTTGTCTCCATTTCTACTGACCCGATTTCATTGTGCACATCTCTTTGCAAGCTGCTGCAAAGCTTCTGTGGAATTAGTAGGCATACAAATGAGGCGCTCAATGGGCCCTCTTGGAGTGAATTAGGTTGGATGCCAAGTCTGAGTGGCAACGTGATGGAAAGGGAGACGCAGGAGCCTTCCCTCTAGAGCATCTTTTTATTCACAGGGCAGTGTCTTTTGAACTTGCTGGGTTGCGTAACAGCTTCTTCAAATGAAGTCTTATATGGAAACACACAGCGAGCAGATTAAAAAAGATGCCGCTGTGGCTGTGATGTTTGAGCTCGACACAGGAGACTCCCCTTCCCACCCACCTTCCTCCTTAGTTCTAGCTCCTAAACCTCTAAAGGGCACAGGAGAAGTACTGCTTTAAAAAACCCCTCAGGGCCTGGGCCTTCAGCACCATGGCAGTTTGGGGGCTACAGCACTGCACAGGACAGTCCTAAAGAGGAATAGTTCATTTGCAGGGTATCTGCCCATGGGCTGTGGGCTGCCCCCCTGTTTACCATATCCCAGGCGCTAACCTGCAGGTCATGAACCAGCCTGGGGCAGGCTCATTCCCCTGCCACCTGTTTGTTGTTCTTATCCGTCCAGGTTCTCTCTGACAGAGTGGACACGTCTCTCACATTCCTCTCTAAGTTGTGGGAAGAACGGGCCAGAGAAGGTTTGGGAGTGAGGTGACAAGCAGGGACCTCAGTGGTGGTGGGTAAACAGGTTTCAGGGGACGCATCTTTTCTGAAGATCCTGTTCTAAGCTTCCACGTTCCAACCTCCAGCCCTGTGCTGTGTGTCTAATAAGGAAACCTCTTTGACCTAGTCAGTTAAAAGTCCCAGCCCTTGCCTCATTACTGCCAAGCCTAGCACTAAAGAGGTGAACGCTAGCGGCTTTCGCCGCCTTCAGCTTGGCAACTGCCCCTCAGGGTCTGTGCCTCAAAGCCCCAGCCTCTCAATGGGTCTGTGTTTTCAATCCTGATTAAACAAAGCCCAGCGGTCTCCCTCCTGGGCTGAGAGCTCCATTCTCATCTTTCCATGGGGATTAGAGGCTGGCCTCTTGTTTGGGTGTCACTCTGCCTTTGAACTGCTGTGGCTTCGTCTGCTTTCAGGCTCAGCTTCCTGCCAGGAAGTGGATTTACCTGATTTGTTGTTACTCTCTCTGCAGGATGATGAGAGTCTCAATCTTCACTACTCGCTCCTTTTCCTTTCTCCACAGCCAGCATTCCCAGCTACCTTCTGCTCCTTATTCCGACAAAAGTGAGGACTTCATAGATAGGAGAGTGTCACTGATCAGGCTCAGGCTGGGAGTGTGGAGGCACGGGAGGTGGGGTTGCCACGGCTGCAGGAGAAGAAGATGCTGACTTAAGGGGGAGGCTGTGTTTTTCCTCCTCAGGGCTCAGAAAGCCATGGAGCAATTATTGAAAGTTCCAGAAAATGAAAACGGGATATTATAAGACAGATCTGAATGCAAGTCTAAGGCCCGTCTTACCTTGTTGCTTTAAATGTGTGCTTTTATCATTAGTGATAGAAGAATCCCAGATACAGCTCGCTCGCGCTCTCTCTCTCTCTCTCTCTCTCTCTCTCTCTCTCTCTCTCTCTCTCTCTGTGTGTGGATGCACGCGTGCGCGCACACCCATGCACTTCTACATGGATGGTAACACAGGGACAGGAAGGAGGCTGAGCTTCAAGGATCAGGTACACTAACATCTAGTGGATGGAAGAGACATGACTCTTCTCAGAGGCTGCTGAGCGAGTGGACAGAAGCACCGAGAGAAATACCAGAGTATAATTAGGTGGACATCATAGCTAGTGCACAGACAGCATTTTCCAGCGGCTTCCATTATCATTATCATCCTATATTTTCTAACAACTGGGGATGATGAGTTCTGGTGAGGGTCCACAATGGCTCAGAGTTCGGCAAATCCACTCAGGCCTTATCTGTGCAGAGTCATTCTTGTATACCTTTATAGATCTCAGAAAGTGAAGCTACAAGGCTGCTAGCTAACCCAAGGAGAGATGCTGTCTTTGGGTCACACACACACACACACACACACACACACACACACACACACACACACACACGTGCTGTTTCCACATTGTTGGGTGGAACGGAAAAGTGAACCCCCAAATGGGAAGAGTCTGAGGTGAGATTAAGCCAGAGTCAGATGTGTGTGTGAGAGAGAGGCAGGGTAGGGAGGTGAGGATGGGTCAGGCAGCTAGACACTAAGAGCAGGGGACCTGAAGCCGGAGGGACAGCATAAGTGTGCAGACAGAGGCAAGAGAAAGTCCTTGTGGAGCTTTAGCAAAAGCCATCTTCCAGGGCCTGGCTTTCCCAGCGTGTGGGGTTCCTGGGCCCCAAAGGGCACTGGCTGGGGCCCTGTCTGCTGCTCCCCTCACAAAGCCTGGGTTGTGCTCTTGGCCAGGCTGTGCCTCCCCACCACTGAGGTCCTGGCTGAGGCTGCTGCCCTGGGAGCCTCCCTTCCCAGCCAGAGGCCCCAGATTTGTACAAGTGCCAATGGCTAATGAGCAGCTCATTTGAATCCATGCAAAGTACCAGGGAGCAAGGAGACATGCTAATTAAAGTGATTGCTGTTCTTTAATTAAGCAATAATTCTCCCAAAGAGGGCATTATCATGCAAATAGAGCCCTCTCGGGTGAGGTAAGGGCTTTGGGCCACAGCTGAGGTCTGTTAATAAGGCCGCTGAGCTTTAGAGGGCAGGGATCCAGAATACCCCATTGAGCTGGGTGATAGAGCAGGGGAAATAACGTCCCTGCACCAGGCTGTCCTTTGTCTCTCCAGGTTTGGCTGCAGAGATCTGGGAGGCAGGGACCCTGCATCCCCTGCTTTCCCCCTCCTCTCTACTCTTTGCCTTCTCTCCAAGAGACACTTACAGAGCTGTGTGAGGTGGATTTGGAGGAAAATGTCTAGCTTGGCCCTTCATGTAATCAATGCCCCAATTACCAGGGCATCAGAATGGAAAGGTCAAAATGAGATGGGAAAGGTGGCTTAGATGTTCACAAACATACAAGGTACCGTAAGAAGAGGAGACACTTGGAGCTAGTGTAGTAGTAGATAATGAAGAGGCAGACATCAGTCATCCATCTGGGTGAGGCAGACATCAGTCATCCATCTGGGTGAGTGTGTGCAAGCTGCTGCCCCTCGCCACGATTCAGTCTCCTCACCTTTAGAATGGGCTGCTTACAGTTGCTCTGCACTGGTATGGGGTGGGCAAGTGAGCATCAACAGAATAGGCATTGAAAGGAGTGGCTCTCGACCTGGGGTGACACTTTACCCCAGAGGAGGGCTGCCCGGTGAAATATATTCTTATTTGCTGAATTTGACAACCTTAGTCTAAGAATAATGTTTAGAGAACTTTTGTCACAACTGGAGGAATGGGTACTGTTCACATCTGGTGGGTGGAGGCCAGCGATGCTACTGAGCAGTCTACCGCGCACACTATAGCCTTCACAACAAATATTCTGTCCAAAAATGACAATAGTGCTGAGTTGACAGGTTTTTACCTAATGCTGCTTAATAGATCTGAGTTGGATTTAAAAGAGCTACTAAGATGGCTTAGCCAGTAAACACACTCACCACCAAGACTGGTGACCTGATGCTGATCAATGGAGCCCATATGGTAGGAGATTGGACTGCCACAAAGTTGTCATTGTCCTTTGACCTCTACACATGCATCAGAGCATGTGCTCCCCTCCCCCCAACAACATACATGAGCAATCAATAAATGCTCTAAAAAAACCACACTTATAAAGAGACTGTACCTTTTTGTAGCCGAATTATAGTACTGAAGTTCTAAATCCTCTGGGACCAGCTTGAAGGCAATTCTCTTTGCTCAACAAGAAGAGTTTGGATTGTAATTGCGTTTTAATAGCAGAATAGACAGGGCAAAGGTGGTACTGGGAGCCCCACACAAGAAGCAGGACAGAGACAAGCTGGAGGGCTGGAAAGACGGCTCAGCAGTTAAGTGCACGTACTGCTCTTCCAGAGGACCTTGCTTCAGTTCCTAGTACCAGTGACAGGCAACTCACACCAACCTGTAACTCCATTTGACAGGGAACCAACACCTCTGGTCTTTGCAGGCATCTGGACTCACATGTACATACTCACACATAGACACACAGACACACAGGTATACACACACACACACACACACACACACACACACACACACACACACACACACTTAAAAGAGGGAATGCCCAGTCGTGGCGTGGATGTCTCTTGGCCTGTGGGTAAATGTGCACACACAGGAAAAAACAGGAGTGGTCAAACAGCTAACACTTGTATTGGGTTTGGATTCTCGTTCTAATAATACCCCCAAGAGGTGGGTATGGTTCTTAGCTCCAATTTGAAGATAAAGAATTAAGGCACAATGAAGGTTAGTTAAATGACTTGCCCAAAGTCACCTACTGACTTAGGGTTTCTATTGCTGTGATGAAACACCATAACCAAAAGCAAATTGGGGAGAAAAGGGTTTATTAGGTTTATACTTCAGCACTGCTGTTCATCACTGAAGGAAGTCAGGACAGGAACTTAAACAGGGCAGGGTCCTGGAGGCAGGAGCTGATGCAGAGGCCATGGAGGAGTGCTGCTTACTGGCTTGCTTCCCATGACTTGCTCAGCCACCTTCTTATAGAACTCAGGACCAACAGCCCAGTGATGACACCACCCACCATAGGCTGGGCCCTCCCCCATTGATCACCAAATGAGAAAATGCCTTACAGCTGGATCTCAAGGAGGCATTTCCTCAGCTGAGGGGCCTTCCTCTGATGACTCTAGCTTGTATCAAGTTGACATGAAAAACCATCCAGTCCACCTACTGAGTTAAAACCAGGATTTCCATGGAGCCATAGACTTGATGTGTTGTCTTCAGGTAGCATCAAGGTCAGGCTAAAGGGCTCTGTCTCTTCCTAGCTGCTCACTGAATCTCCCAGCTGTTGTCTGCTTTGGGAGACATCCATCCCCGGGACCTTAAGTCTCTCCATGGACAGCTAGAGGACGGAGGCAGAAGGGAGTCACCACTAAGTCTGACCTCATTTGCTTAAGGTTGGCTGGGCTTCTTCACGGCTCCTGCAGTTTCCCTAAGGAGGTTTGGAGCATCTCGAATGGCCGTGGCCTTCCCAGCAGCGCCGCACAGCCTCATGTGCCTCAGGTGGAGCTCCTGCTTGGCTTGGGAGGTGACAAAGGCAAAGTCAACAAACCGAGGGGGAAGCCGAGCCTCCTGCTCCCAGGGTTCTTGGCCCCTTGCAGTTTTCTGTTCAGTCCCTGCAAAATCGATGTTTTCTGTCACACGGAGAGGGAGATAGCATCCCATTAGACGACCAACTTAGCTCTGCCTCTGCCAGGCTCTCACTCTGCATTTGGCAGGGGAAAAGGAGTGTAGGGGGTGGGAAACAGGACCCGGCTCTGTTTGCAAAGCATTTTCATCAGTCAAAAACTGCCAGGCTCGTGCATATTAAATAAACCCTGACTCATGGAGACATATACCTTGCTTGCTTTGCTGATCGGTGGGGCCACGGAGTTACGTTACTTTCCAAGTGACAGCTCTAACATTCTGCAGGCTTTCTCAAAAACTGTTCTGGCTTTTTCTGAACAAAGAACAATCCACAAAAACGCCCATGGTTTGCAATGCATAGGAGTCTGTTTACAGGACCACAGACAGCCCTCTCCTCGGTCAAAAGGGACTCGGTGAGATCATCCGTTTAATTGCCTTCCACCTCCAGGTGGGGCTGGGTGGCCCAAAGGTCTTCCGCCAGAGGGTTTAGAAAGAGCGTGGCTCAAGTCTCAGGCCCTTATAGTGAGTTCCCTAAGGGCTAGCTCCGTTTTTTCCATTGCAGGATTTATAAGTGGGATTGAAATGAGAGCATGGAGCTGCCTGGCCAGGAACAAAGATTTTCAGTGTGTTTCAGTCACTAACCTAAGACACTATAATATAAGCCAGGCTCCCTTCTCCCCAACCCTAATGGGTCCTGAAATGAAGCAAGTCATCCAAGAACAATAACAGTAAGACTACAGCCAACACCAGCATAGAAATTACTTGAAGTTAGTAGGTGCAAGGCAGTGTTCTACAACTCACAACAACTATGGGGCACGTACAGGGTGAGAACCCCTTACCTGACATGTTTTGGATTCGGGCATTTGCATATATATAATGAAGTATCTTGGCGATGGGACCCAAGTCTAAATATGTAGATCCTATGTTGTATACACAGCCTGAAGGCGATGTTACACAACCTGCAGTTTGCCTGTGTTTTGATTGTGAACTGTCGTGTGAGGTTAGGTGTGGAACTATCCACTCATAGCATCATGCTGGCAACCAAAAAGTTTAGAATTCCTGGGTCATTTGGGACTTTTTGGATCAGAGACAATTACTCTGCACTATTGTTATTGACATTTTGCAGAGAGGAAAATGGTTTTCCTTTTTTTAACACAGGCAAGATGGGCACTCCGCTTCTCAGCTTCTCTTTGTAGGTTGTCCATCCCAACCTTCCTGTGAATGTCTTCATGTAGCTTTTTCTGTGTCTACACCACAGCCAGTGAGTGTTCTGAAATGTATTAGAATCAA